CCACCACCGCCTTATCAGATATGTATCCCCCAGAGGAGCTGCCCGACTCCCTGGTGATGCGGCGACCACGTCGCACCCGCACCACCTTCACCAGCTCCCAGATCGCCGAGCTGGAGCAGCACTTTCTGCAAGGACGCTACCTCACGGCCCCCAGATTGGCGGATCTTTCGGCCAAGCTAGCCCTGGGCACTGCCCAGGTGAAGATCTGGTTCAAGAATCGTCGGCGCCGTCACAAGATCCAATCGGACCAGCACAAAGACCAGTCGTACGAGGGAATGCCCCTTTCGCCGGGTCTGAAACAGAACGATGGCGATCCTCCCAGCCTGCAGACCCTGAGTTTGGGCGGAGGAGCCACGCCCAATGCCTTGACCCCATCGCCGACGCCCTCGACGCCCACCGCACACATGGTGGAGCACTACGGGGAGTCGTTCAACTCCTACTACAACTACAATGGAGGCCACAGCCATGCCCATGCCCCCGCTAATCGTCATGTGCATGTGCAGTACTCTGCGGGAGGAGGACCAGGATCTGCACCTACTGCCAATGGCGGTCAGTTCTTCCAGCAGCAGCCGCCGCAGCAGCAGCAGCAGGTTCACCACCACCAACAGCAGCTGCATCACCAGACCAACCACGTGCCGCTCCAGATGCAGCAGCAGCATCAGCAACAGCAGGCCCAGCAGCAGCAGCAGCAGCAGCAGCAGCAGTACCACCACTTTGACTTCCAGCAAAAGCCAGCCAACGCCTGTCGCGTCCTGGTCAAGGACGAACCGGAGGCCGACTACAACTTCAGCAGCTCCTACTACATGCGCTCGGCGCTGTCTGGTGCCACCTCTGCCTCCGCCTCCGCCTCTGCCGTGGCCCGCGGCGCTGCCTCGCCCGGCTCCGAGGTCTACGAGCCATTAACACCCAAGAATGACGAGAGTCCCAGTCTGTGCGGCAACGGCAACGGCATCGGCCTCGGCGGACCCTGCGCCACAGCCGTTGGCGAGACGGAGGCTGCCGACGACATGGACGACGGAACGAGCAAGAAGACGACGCTTCAGGTCAGTCAACAGATCCCCTTGAAACTATGTATTTCCATTAAATTTAATACATACCGAATCTCCAAATTTTGACAAATCCTTGGATCATGGTAAAAATTAATTGGTATTAAACAAACATAGCTGCTCTTATGAACACTTAGCCTGATCGTTCCTATATTGGTAACCTCGAAAGAGATCAACCAGAGTTTTTCAATACTTAAATAATTAATCAAAAACTCAAGTAAATAAGCTGAAGAAAATTTCAGCATCCATTTATTTTTATTAACAAAAACAGGATTAATTTTTAATGTAAAAAATATACTTCCTTAAATTCCGTTTATTTCTTAATGCTCAAAAGTTTATATTTTAAAATTTGGAAATAGTTTCTTAATTGAATCGTTTTAGCTATTTAGCTTTAAATTTTTCAAATATTTGATGCAAGTATTTGATATTAATTTTAAATTGTATTATAATTACCCATATATTCAAAGATGTACGGAGTTTTTTATTAACTGCTTCCTCCGCAGATGAGAATCAAGCTACATAAAAATTATATTTATTGAATAGTAATATTGAATGATAATTTAAATTAAAAAATGAAAATAATTTCCAATTTATTAGAGTCATGGGAGCTGTTGTTTTACTGACAAGAATTTAATGGCTAGTTCCTAACTTTACAAATATCATCTGACAAATAAAAATACTTTACAATTATCAGACATATGACGATTTTAGGTTTTGAATAGCTATAACATTTGTTAGTTAATTTAGCAAGTTTTGCATAGTATTGAAGCCTTTTGAAATAATAATCTCATTTGACAGGAATAATTAGAGATTACATAATCTCTAATATTACATAATATTCCACAATAATATATTTCACTTCTAATAAATTTACCTAATTTAATTAACTCCGCTTACTGAATTTCATTCCTTGTCAACTTCTATAACTTTTAATCCTTTGCTGTCCGTTTCTCCATAGATCTTGGAGCCTTTGAAGGGTCTGGACAAGAGCTGCGACGATGGCAGCAGCGACGACATGAGCACCGGACTGAGGGCTCTGTCGGCATCCGGAATACGGGGCGGGGCGTTTGCCAAGTTTGGCAAGCTTTCGCCCCCGCAAGGGCCACAGCCGCCCCTCGGAATGGGAGTGGGCGTGGTCATGGAAGCATCGAACCAATATCAATGCACGATGGATACGATAATGCAAGCGTATAATCCCCATCGTAACGCCGCAGGCAACTCGCAGTTCGCCTACTGCTTCAATTAGCCTGGACAAGCGGCGTCCCAGAGAGTTTAAATAGCTTTAGGTTAACCACTGTTGTTCCTGATTGTACAAATACCAAGTGATTGTAGATATCTACGCGTAGTAAGCTAGGATTAGTCTTAAGATGATTGTAAATTGGTTTTTAGATTTGTTTAATGTTCTAGCCTAGTCAGCGGGCGACATTGTTTCAGTGCCTCTTTTAGTGATACTCTACTTATGTCCAAAACTTTACCCGCAATACGCTCTTTGCCCCGACTGCTTCTGGCAGGATGTTCCACTAAAGCCCAGGAATGTCCAGTTGGATCCATTTGGGGCCTTTTGGGCTTGAACGTATTCCGGGGAAAGTTAACCACCCAAACCCAAATTCCGCGCCAGCAAGAAAATCAGTTCTAAAACAATTTGGCATAGCTAAAAACTGTACTAATCGAAATGCAAAATGTTTCTCTTGGCGGTAATCAAAACCAACGATTACCTCTTAAAGATTGAACATTTAAAAAACAATATTCGATATGATATTTTCAATTTCTATGCTATGCCAAAGCGTCTGACATAATCAAACATTTGCACATTCTCTTTCGACGAGAATTGTCAGCAAATTGTCTTATCATCAAATGCAGAACACTTGTTTAAGTTTCACTGATTTATTTGCTGCCTACGGAATTAGTATATAGTTAATATTTTTAAATCACTTCAAGTTACATTGAAATATGTTTAGCCTAAAATTTACGGTGCACCTTTGACGTTGTCTTTTTAAGTTTTATGTCGAAATATACTAGAACTACTCCAATCGAGTAAGTTGTGACTAACTATATATTAACAAATGGCGTAGGGCATGTAGTTTCTCTTTCCGTCTCTTTTCAGGATGAACGAAAACAGTATCTGGTTTTCCCAAAAATCTTATGAATTTAAAAATGCATTTTATGGCCCTCGCTCACACTCACACATGCCTGCCATAAAATGTGATTCGCGATTTTTCCGCGAACACCCGCGAGTTGTAAAACTTTTGCACCAGCTGCCTGTGTGTTTATTTGGCTACCTGATCCGCGACCTTCCCGACCCACGATCGTCATCGTCCGGTCGCACTATTTAGGTAGGCACTGTACAGGCGCCGTCAGGCAACTTGTTGCCTCTATTTTCTTTGATATAAATTGTGGAAAATCCAGAAAACCAAAATGCGCTCTACATGAACGAACGTCGATCGGGTTTCTCCCAGTTTTGTAATTTTTATTGATCTTGCTCCTTGGCGCGTTCAAATGGGCGCGTTTTAAAAGGTGGATTATGGATGTGCTGGGAAAACCAAGACAAGAATCCATTCTTACGCCACGTCATGTTTGCTTAGGCTTGTTTTTTTCGTACTTGATTTAAACTGTTAAAAACAACAGATTAATTAAAACTAATATTTATCTTAAATAAGTTCATATTATTTATACACAACTACCATGTCTTTAATTGTCTTAATTATAATGTTTAATCCTCAGAACTTATGAAAACTTAATCAATCTTAAAGTTTTCTTAGTTAATAAATACTTGAGATCCCGTGATGATTTAATTTCCCTAAAGATGGCATAAGTTTTTCAGTAATTAATTTTATTTTCTAATTCGTATTTCAGCTATCAAATATTGTGTTTAAAAATTTGTAAATAAAAATTTTACTTAAATTAAACCGTTTAACGGATCGAAACAATATAAGCTATTGTCAACTGTTTTTTTTTGTATTGATTCCAATGCTGTTAATTAATTTTCGGTTTCATGAATGTTTTCTACAAACAAAGCTAGTCTAACGATAATTTTAAATTAATTTTAAATACATACCCCACAAAATTTCTAATCTTAAATTCAGATTCAAATTCATATTCATATTTGTTTTAAGTTAAGATGCCCTCAACTGTACCACAGACGATCCCATATATGTATCCTCACGGCTGTCCTGTCATGACTTTTCCTTTGTTCCCGCGTGTTTTTAGCGAATTCCCAGAAGGAGCAAATCCGATAGCGCCAGTAATAAAATTTGCGAACAGTTCCCGAGCTCGAGGACTGCGGATGGAAAGTCTGAGGGACTAGAGGACCGCGACGGATTCGCATTCGCCGCGACGGAGACTACGGTTTCTTCGGCATCATCCTGGCAACAAACGCAGTCGTAAACTGTCCAAATCGAGCATAAAACCCCGAGGAGTATCCTTTCACAGCGTTGCTTTCATTGCATTATGAGGATAATTGCGGACGGCGAGCGACCAAAAGCCGCGACAACAGCCTCGGTTTCACTTTCAGCGCCGCCACCGGAGGCTCTTTCAACAGGTGCTACAAGTTGGACAACAATCGCCTCGGTTCCCTGATGATGATCGGCCTGTCTACCTGGCTAGACTCTATCCCTCGAGCTCTGGACCCCGGGAGCTGTCTCACGCAACGATCCAAATCCCGGCCGGATTTCGATCAAAACAAGCCTCTAGATTGCCCATTGCCAATGGCCGGGTGTCGGGAATCGGGAGTCCGAAGTCGTCGGACCTGGCTAGTCTCCGTGGAGCCAGTCGGCCTGCGACGAAGGGATTTACGACTCGCGGGCTTAGGCAAATTTTTTTCGCAACGATGCGTCGGCGGAATTGACCTGTGACCGTGTTCACTACCTGACCGGATTCCTATATAAGGTTGATGTTTGCTTAGGACGACAGATCAGTCCAATTTTGACAGCTCAGTCGACAGTACAAGAGCTAGAGATGTCATCCGTCATGCATTACTATCCAGTGCACCAGGCCAAGGTGGCTCCTTATCCAGCAGCCCCATCCGAGGTGAAATACAGTGAGGTGAGTACCAATATCTGAAGCCACGAAGCAATAAACTGATCTGTGTTTCCTCCATTCTAGTTAATCTACGGTCACCATCATGCTGTGAACCCCATCGGCCTGCCACCCAACTACAACCAGCTGAACTCCAACCCCACCACCCTCAACGATCACTGCTCCGCGCAGCAGCAGCAGCACCAGCACCATCAGCAGGTGTCCTCGGATGAGAATCTGCCATCCCAGTCCAGCCAGGATGCGCAGAGGGTGAAACTGAAGCGATCCCGAACTGCCTTCACCAGCGTTCAGCTGGTGGAGCTGGAGAACGAGTTCAAGAGCAACATGTATCTGTATCGGACGCGCAGGATCGAGATTGCCCAGCGGCTGTCCTTGTGCGAACGGCAGGTGAAGATCTGGTTCCAGAACCGACGCATGAAGTTCAAGAAGGACATCCAGGGACACCGCGAGCCCAAGGCCAGCGCCAAGCTGGCTCAGCCCCAGGCGGAGCAGAGTGCCCATCGCGGGATAGTGCAGCGCCTGATGTCCTACTCCCAGGATCCCAGGGAGACCGCTGCGGCAGCAGAAAAGCGTCCTGTGGTGGCAGTTGCACCCGTCAATCCCCAGCCGGACTATGGCCAGACCAAGGTGAAGTCGGAAGTGCCAGCCAGCAATGTTATGAGCCACAGCAACAACAGCATGTGCTCCAGTTCCGATCTCAGCGAGATCTTGGAGCACCTGGCTCAAGCCACGGCTGCTCCAGCAACCAGCATCGCCCATCCAGGAGCCTCTTGCAACGCCAACTCAGTGACAAGCTCCTCGTCGGGACACTACTCCTACAATGTGGACTTGGTGCTGCAGAGCATCAAGCAGGATTTGGAGGCAGCGGCCCAGGCCTGGTCCAAGTCGAAGTCGGCACCCCTGCTGGCCACTCAATCCTGGCATCCGAGCTCCCAAGTCCAGATCCCCACGAGCGTGCATGCTGCTCCGTCCATGAACCTGTCGTGGGGCGAGCCTGCTGCCAAGTCCAGAAAGCTGAGCATAACCCACATAAATCCCTGTGTCACCGGCTTCAACTATCCCAATTGAGCACATTTAAGTTTAGATTCTGTTAGAGCTAAGCAATCGTCTCTGGCACTTGGACGCAAAATTCTAACCCAACTCAGTGACAAAAGCCATTTACATTATTAATTAAGCGCTAGGTTAAATCATTTTTTTTATTTAATACATATAATCAAACTAATGTGTAATGATAAATAAAAACTAAAACAATAACTACTTGCTTTTATAACATTCCAATACATAATTTTAACAAATAAATTGGGGAAACTATTTGGAATTAAAACTGAAATGGGAAGTGCATTAATTTTGAATATATAATTTTTGGATTTAGCTGCAGTCCAAATTCATTCAGATACATTAGCTGGCAGTTAGATACTTTCAGAAATCTTTGCTTTAGTTACAGCTTTTTCCCCATCCTTTCTTTAAATATGCTTTAACCCTCACCACTCAAAAGTGGATACGAGATACCAAAAAAAGGGAAAGAGTGAAAAGGAGGGTTAATTTTTAGCATTTAGCCAGTTGTCCCAGTTGTCTTCGGTTTCACTTTTGCATTTAATGTCCCATTGCGGGCGACTTGAGGTCAAGTCGAGGAATTTCCATTGCATTGCCCATCTATTAGGGCCCAGAAAAGTGTCAACCGCATTAACTCGGACAGGTCCAGCCCCGTTCCGTAACCAGGTTCGGTTTCAGTTACAGTCACAGTCCGCCGGAGCGGGTTCCGTTGGTCATCTTGAGCGGTGGACGTGGAGTGTTTGGGATTTGATTTATGGACATTTAACCGCACACATTACTTGCTACTTGCTACTTGCTGTTTGCCACTGGCTGCGGTGGCTGGCCAGCGTCTTGCAGCGCGGAAATGCGGCACTCAGCCTCAGCTCCAAGGAATTTCCACCAGTCCTGCCATCCATCCATCCCTTTGGTCCTTTGGTCCTTGGGCCCTTAGGTGTGGTGTGATATGGAGTGCTGTGTGTGTGGCAAATTGCTTCCCCTGGGAGGAAATTGTCGCTCGCACTTGCCACGACCAAAGGACTCGCAGGACCTGCACTCTAAAAAACTCTTATTACTGGAAATAATTTATCGTAAAATTTCGAATCGTCAATCATAACTAATTCAATTTAAATAGTTAATACATTTTTTATATTTTTTGTTATTGTGCAAGTAATTGCAGTGCGTAATTCCTTAATTTGAATAATATTTAAATTGCAATAAAGTATTGAATTACACATTTTTCTAAAACTTGTAAGAATATAGTTTATTTAATGTGGTAAAGCAATATTAATGTAATCCTCTCAATAAAATGATTCAGCAATCATATAAGCTTTTAATGCCCTTTGAATTGATATATTTATCATTTAGAAATACTTTATTAGTTTTATACAAATCGAATGGCATTGCAACAAATCTATTACTGGGAACTTTAGAAAATGGAATTGAAGTAAATAGGAAAATTGTCGTTCTTCTACAATATATTCCCATATTACATGGTACATAATTTTTTACGGTTTCAGCAAAGTTTTTCAAGGTTTGAGGTCACATTTTTTTCAGAGTGAACCCATGTGGAAGTCAGGGGTCAAAGGGGAGGACCTTCCGCAGGGGTGGATCCTTGGAATTTTCATGCGCATTGTTGACATTTCCTGACATGTGGTCCGGTTCGCCTCGCTTCTGGTTTTGGTTCGGTTTGCGTTCGCTTGGAGCATGTCCTGCACATGTTCTGGGCTGCCATAATGAATATAGATGCCGGATTCGAGGAGCGTGGGCGTGGCTAATCGCCCGGCAATCAGAGGCAGCTAATCAAACTCGCATAAAAAGCCAACAGCAGGAACAAGTAAACAACTCTCCGCGGGCCAGCTTCAATTACGCGAAATGCCAATGTAATAAACATGTCCAACAGCAACAGCGCACAGATTGTTCCCATTGTTCCAGTTAGCCAATTCCTATGCTCAATCATTCGCTCGGTGGCAACATTGCGGTTTTATTAGCCGGAATAGGAAGTCGGGAGTTGGGAGCTGGGAGCTGGGAGCTGAGGCCCCAAGGTTTGAATCTGGAGCCTTGATGACAATGACAACGCCGCAGTCTTGGCCTGGTCATAACAATAAATTCCGCAACCGCAACGGAGGCTGGGCGAAAAACATTTCAAATTGTTTCTTGTTAATTAAATTAAATATTCACTTGGGAGTCGCACGCCCCAGTCCACAATGCCCAACCGCAGCGTTTTGTAATTAGATTGAATCTATAATTTTTATGGCTAATCGCCTTTTGGAAGCTTTTGGCTTCCAACCGGCCCTCATTCCCCACTCTTTCGACAATGAATTTTGAATTCGCGGCCAGGACTCGAAAGCCAAGTGCTTGGAATCCTTGCGACAGCCGAGCAAAATGTACTTTGTGTGCAAATTAAATGGCTTCGCGAGGAATCCGCTCGGTTTTGTTGGGGAATCTGGCAAGTCAATTAACGGGGTTATTTTTGGATCAGTGGAATAGAACTTTGGTATCTCGAGCTCAAATAGTATGAATCTAGACTTTTTTCTTTTCTTGATACATTAAAATTATTAAAATCAATCAGATTGCCTTCAACTACACTGGCTTTTCTGAACTTTTGAACACTAAAACTTAAAACTAACTAACACTACCTATTTTAACGAATTCCTTTAAAAAAGAGAATCAATTTAAAAATAGATACAATATCTTTGATGCAAATTTAAGCTGGTGAAACCTATTTGTAGCATCACTTTTAAATACAATACTCTACAAAAATCTTTTCTAAATGTATTTCACCCATCATATTCAGAAGCACAATCCGCCCTACTGTTTTGGGCTCAATTTGGATATTTTTGGCACGTTTAAACGTTATGACATTTCACAGACGTGTTAGTCCCTCAACGCCACCGATATGGCCAACACCTGTCGTATAAACAAATCGTGCTGGGCCAGAAAAACTTTCCGTCCATTCCACATATGCCGGGGCTGTACGGTTTTGGCCCACCAAAAATATGCATATATAGTGAACAGCAGGCACAGGGACTCTTCTTATTTTGTATTCCACAGAAGATTGTGAATGCGTGAAAAAAATCACTTCAAAATTTGAATGCCAATTGGCCAAGGGATGGGGCGAGGGTAGTGGAGCATCCAGGGACCCAAAATGGAATTCGTGGGCTTACAATAGATTTTTTGTTGTGCCAACCCGAATGAGAGTCACTTGGGTCGTGGACCGTGATGTTGTTGCAAGCATCTGTTGCTGAATTTATTTATTCTATAATTTTGCATACCAATTTGATATCCTGTTGAGGAACCTTGCCAACTATTTTTATAACAACGAACGTTGTCATATTTTATTGTCTTGTTAATAATTTCTTTTTAAAATCTTGGTACTAATAAAAATAAAACACATTTGTATAATGTTCAGATATCAGACATCAGCTTTATGTAATAATTAAAATTTAATTAATAATTAAATTAATAAATAATTAATAGTTATTTAAATTCTTCTCATTATCAAAAACTTAACACATTTCTATAACAATAAGACATCGAATTTATATTTAAAATAGTATTCTGAACAGTCGATTTCAATGAACTTTGATTGATTAGGAATTAGTTTCATTAAATCTAAACTGAAGAGCACTAAATATAATAATGATTTTATAAATACAATTAGTGTTTATTTAAAATTGTCTTTGAATAAAATTCTTCAAAAAAAAACAAATAAAGAGTGTCACATATGGGTTTTGAACCAATCCGGTTTCGATGTCAATTCCCTTTCATTAAATTCGTTACTCAGGTTGATTTCACAATCCCATTCCCATTTCAAAATTTCACAGATAATTCGAGCATGCTCAACCCTCTTAACAGCTGATACTGATAGGCAGCATATGCAAGTGACCTCCCATATATATGGGGTTGGACCATATTTATGGCCCGATGGCTGGTATATTTTTCATCGGTCTAAAACCCATAATTAAATTACGTGAAATTCATTTATAACAATTACGTCGAAATGGCAATCTATGCTGATGATGCCGCCAGGCGGCGAGAGTTGCCGCAAGGAGCGTTACCAGCTTTTGCTAACCAACAACGAAATTCGTGCCGAATAAAAAATGCGGTGCGTCATGTGAGCAATTTGGTGTCGTTGTCGTTTGTCCATTTGCTGCCAGCAGCGAAATGGTGCTACAACCAGTTCAGGCTCCTTTGCCGCACTGCAATTATTTATTCCCGTGCATTTCGTTTCCGCCCCTTTCTCTGCTAACTTGGCCAAGAGAACCCGGCGCTTAAGCATGTCCATGTCCGGTTGCAGACTGTGTGTGTGTGTGTGCGCATGTGTGTGAGCCAGCTCCTAAATGCTTGGCCCACACGACACAGACACATATCCGCCACCCAGCTCTCACTCACAGGTATCCTTTTCTCCAAGCCCCCCTCCCCCCAATTCACTATTGCAGGTAATGTGCCAGCGACATGCACTTCCAGGTGAGAGAGGGCAAGGATGCACTCGAAAAACAAATACATCAAATGTCACTAGTGAGTAATTTGTGTTTTAAACACCATATGTTTAATATCTACCATAAAGTTTAATGTATAAATTTAATAAATTATTACTTTTTGGATTTTATGGAATTATTTTGATTTCTTTTAATTTTTTGATTACGAACGAACAGTTTCTGACATTAGTAAAATTACCTAAGAAAAGCAACAAGGACTTCCGTAATTACTTTTTTAGCTCAGCTTAAAGATCCTGTGTCGTTTCATTAATAACACGATTTGTTTTATGTTGAAAAGCTCAATGTTTGGATCATTTACTGTTCTGTTTCTGATCAGCAAAAATTCCGACCTGATATACAATATTTTTTTTTTTATAGAAATATTTAGTTAAGCAAAAAATAATCCAAAATTTAAAAATACACTATTTAGTAAACATTATTTTAAGAAATAACTACATAAAATAATTACTGCTAATTCCGTTTTGCTGAGTGTAAGGCTCTGTACACTGAAGAGGGGGCTTGAGGAGGCTAGGTTCAGTTGTGTTGAGATTGCGGCTCTACTATTATAAGATGCCATTATGTTTTATAGTCTATAATTGATCCTTTGAGCCAAGCTGAGCTGAACATGCATTTGTGCATTTCTTTATCTTACAAATTGTATGAGATTAAATGAAAAGTAATGTGAACGTGAGTATGAATATGACTATCAGCCAGAGTGCCAGGAACAGGGTATGCAGGTGTGTGTTTGCATATTCCCATAATCATGTAAACGATTCAACGCAAATGACTGGCGAGATCATAAAAATCAAACACGTTATGTGATTTTTTTTTTTTTAAATAATATTTGATCAGCCCTTAAAACTGGTAATTCCAAAGTAATTAGGCCTTAATATGGTTTTTAATTTCTTTATACAAGCAAGTTAGTTTATCAATATAGGACTTAAGATACTAATTTTTTAGAAGCTAATATTATTTTTGAGCCGTTATTATCGATAGCTTATGAACACTTTTTGATATTATTGCTAGGCAACCAGTTGGTTATGGGCAATAAATAATACAACCCCAAGTTGCCACGCGATTTGTTTGCCCAGCTGGTAAACATTCGGAACAAACAACACTCCACAACGGCCAATTCAAAAACAAATATTTATTTGAATCCGTTGGTCATTACTTAATATTCGGGACCATGTATTCCTTGCAACACCCGCAAATCGATGAGCGTTTTTTAGACTCGGAATCAACAGTTGAAGCAGTGGTCAAGTTGCTTGAAAGCCTACAAGTGCCAAAAGAGTAAGTGGAAAATCATATTGTACTAAAATAATTTCTTATTTCCATCTAGGGAGGAAGAAGAGGGACAAGAAACAGTTGAAAAGGACCCAAAACCGACGACAATCGTCGAAGAAGAAGATTTTATAATTACTGAGCGGAAAAATTCAATCATTGAAAAAACTGAACCTAAGGATAATGTACCCAGAGAAAAATTAAAGCCCAGAACTTTCAAACGTCTGGACCGGAGTAGAGATCGATTTCCCTTTATGCGTCAGGTGGAAATGGATCTCGATCAACGCTCGAAAGCTCGATTGGAAAGAGAACGAGTGGCTCAAAACTTTCGAAAGTAAGTTTATCGAGGTATTTAGAGTTTCCTAATATTCAAAGCATCCCCCACTCAGATTAGGAAACGCGGAGTATCGAAAGGGTAACTATGAGACTGCCATGCAGATGTACACCGAGGCCATTGAGAATATTCGGGACAGTCACATCCTCTACATAAATCGCGCTCTCTGCTTCATCAAGTAAGCGATTGAATTTCAAATTCCTTTAGCTGCATTTTAACTAATGAATCCCCTTGCGTCCCCGCAGATCGGGTAAATTCAAACGAGGCATTGTCGATTGTGATTTTGTTCTGAACAAGTTGGATGAGAAGAACTTGAGGGCGTGGATGTATCGGGCAATGGCGTATAAAGGTCTCAAGGATGAGCCAAATTTTGAAAACTGTGTGAAATATGCCCGCAAATTTAATTCGAAGCAAATGGAGTTCATTGATGATTTCCTGGAAAAGTTAAAATAAATTTTAGGCATTGATGATAAATACCACCGTTTTAATTAAATCCAGTTTGAACATCAAATGTTTACTAAATTATGAACTTAGATATATGTATATTGTTAGCAACAAATTCCTTATAGCCCCCGCTTCTGACAAAATGAATATTGCAACCTTAAGTTCATTATACAGCTTATATTCAGCTTTAAACAAGAACGCCTTCCTCCGCGTTTTAAAAGCGCAAACCTATCCCCACCAAAACTTCAAGTGTTGTTTACATATGACAGCAGGAGTATCGTGTTTGGTAGCTCAACTCTTTCGATTCCATTCCGATGCCATTCAATCGAAGTCGGGCCCACAGGCACATCCTCTGGCCGCCACCTCCAACTCCCCGTCCTCCGACGAAACCACCCTGGATAAGGGCAAACAATTCGATGGCGGTAATCAATCTTCCTTCACTCTCTGCCAGCTGACAGCTCCGTGGTGTAGAGTCAAATTGCGATCTTTGTTTGTGCCGGGTCCGGGTTTCGGGCCAGGACAGCGGACCAGAGACCGGAGACCGTACTGCGAAGAGCTGACACTCAGCATTGGCATGTTTAAACACTCGACAAAATATTCTATGAAAGACTTTTTCTTGAAATTAATTTGTTAATTCATTTTTAAAAATTGAATTCAATTAATTAAGTTTTTTGAAACCTCTTTGGTAACAAGATTTTATATTATCGAATTTTATAAATGTTTTGAAGAACTAGGTATTGCAAATAATATTTTTTTAGTGGGATAGCATTCCTAAAATCGTATAAAATTGTTATTAATGTACGTTCTAACTGATTTTCCGATCATTCCAACAGCAGCAATGTGGTCTATTCGTCCTGCAATCTGAACAATGTTTTTGTAAAGACTATGCGAATGATTCTAATCAAGAATTATACATACTTACGGTCAGAATAATAATTGGTAATAGCAAAATTATTTAAAGAAAGGGTTTAAAGAAATTAGAAAATGGCACATCATACCATAACCTAGAGAATATTTCTAAATATAATGTTTTTATTTTAGTGTAGACTCGGAAGCGGGGGACTCAGAGGGTGGAGCATGAACCGGGGGTTGGCTGTTCCATTTATGCGTGTCAAAGGTTGCGTAGCACAGGCGGAGGGCGACAGATTGAAGCCGAGGCAGGCGACACAAATGTTGTACTTGTCACGGTTGTTGCGTTAGTTGCATCTTGTTCTTGGGTGGGTGGTTCAGGGGGCAGAGGGTGGTGGTGCCATAGGGGAGCCCCAAATGAGAACTGAGAAGGCATAAATTCTTATCCACTCATTAATCCTTTCCATTTAACGCAATTATCTGACAGTTATGTATCCGTTTTATTGCATTTGAACAACAGAAAAAACTAAATATATACAAAAACATATAGCGCATCAATCAATTGTTTTCCAGCAACTCATGGAATGTTTTTACAACAATGTATCGTGGTTTTGTCAACCAATCAAGTGGAAGTAATATTAATTAGAAAGACATTAAGCGAGAGTTGATCAGGATAAGATCGAAATAATTATCTATCGTGTTCATGGCATCGCATACGAAAACAAGTACATTTTGTTGTGCGTTTAATATTAGAGGCCTTTTTTATTTATTCATTTCACATTTACAACTTTATTCATTTGTTGCCCCATTTGTTTATGCAGTTTTGAAACATACTCCCTTAACAGTGAAACTTTATCGATAATGAAATTCTTCAAGTTCCTATTATTGGCATAATCAAATAACTAATAAAAAGACACGACTCTGTGACAGCTGACGATGAAATATTGTTCACAAAACATGGCAAATCTAATATGATCCGAGTGTCCTCATCTCCTTTCCATGTGACACAACACGTTGGCCGAGATGGAAAAGCTGAGGAAAATTTCAATATGCTGGAAATCACTTTATGATGTGATGACACCAATTTATCTGAGCTCACTAAGGGAGAAAGAGGAGCCTGCCGTTGTGACCACAAAATTGTTCGACCAAATGGCTTTCATGTTGACTTTATATCTTAACCAGCTAAAAAGAGTTTGAGCTAACAAAATATTCCTGAAGGTGGCTTAAACTTTAAAAATAATACCCACTTTAATTGCATTAATAGCTTTTCGTGCTAGTATTTGTATTCATATTTGACTTTACTTACTAATCGGTTAAATGAATTTACACCAGAATTCTTGTTCAAAACTTGTGTTACACTTAAAGCAATGCATATTTATACAAGATGAACCTCTGGAAAATGCGTTTAGGATGATTTAACTATTTCAAATTTTAAAATACTTTTTATTTTATTTAGAAAGAAAAATATTTAGAAAATTAAACCTTCTTTAAGACATCCAATAATCTTTGACCAAGATCACCTGAGCTCTAGATTTTGTTTCCGTCATGAAAATCTAGTTTTAGTTTACATAAGCCTGGGCGATTGAAAATCTACGCCATATATTATGTAGCACAGGGGTTGGCGGATTTTATAGCGGGTTATTGGATTAGCTTGAAGTGCTAGTGACACTATTTATATGACCGAGGATCAGGGTAGAACGGATCAGATCGCGCTCCCTTGCTAAGCAGGTAGCTCAACCCTTAGATATTCATAACTAACATGGAAAACCCCCGGGAAAACCAAATTCTTTCCCGTTCATGGCCGATAACTACCTGATCGGGGGCTTGGGGTCTAATATATTGGCCTGCGACAAAGCTGGGCATAATCGTAGGTACGAAAATAAGGTATCTTAGTGGATATATAAGATGGTTCTAGACCTGGTCAACTTTATGTTACCTTTTTTGTGTTTTTATTTTCAATTTGGTGAATATGTTTTTTATGGGCATATCATTTCTATATAGTTGTTATGTATGATACTCAAATAGGTACAACTATTTTGAAAAGATGAAAATTAAAAGGTTCATATAAAAACAAAACATTTAAGTTTCAACTATTTTTCAAAACATTAATATTAATAAATAAAAAAGGCACATTCTCATATCACCTTTGAGTCTAACTAATATTTTCGACTATCGTTAAAAAGAACGCAATCAGGACTCACGCCGCTTTGATACCTAGAAAAATGTCGTGTGTTCTGGAGCCTGGACTTCACCTTGAATCGGAGCCAGGCCCGAAAAGACGCGACATCTACCAGTCCAGACCAGCCGGCTGCGAACTCAGAAGTGTCACAGGCGGGACAGGTAGGAACCAATCCGATGCGTTACCTAAGGTTTCTAAGGTATATAAGCAAATGAGATGTCTTCAGGGGCATCTAGTTAAAAAACCCAACTCAAAGCGAACAGAAGTAAACGAAAATACACTCTTCAAGAAAAATGTTCACCATCGAAAACGAAAACTGTTTTGTGGATAACTGTTCAGCCAGTGACTTTGTGGTAAGTTTCAAATTCTCGAGTGACTTTTGATTGAATCTTATTTACCCCTTATTGTTCATTATTTTTTATAGATGTATCCTTGTGTCAATATAAACTTGGAAGGGGCTCCCTTAGCTCCAACAAAGTCCTTGGAAAAATCAAAGAGGTGTCGCACGGCATTTACCGGTCATCAACTAATCGAACTTGAAAGAGAGTTCCATCTCAACAAATATTTGGCCCGGACGCGGCGGATTGAGATATCCCAGCGTTTGGGCCTCACGGAAAGGCAAGTTAAGATCTGGTTCCAGAATCGTCGCATGAAGTTCAAGAAGCTTACCAATAAGAAAATGGTAAAGGGAGCATTGACCACGGATAGTTCTACCACTTCCCAATCAAACGAGGATCGCTTGGAGGACGAACTGATCGTTGAACGCCTCCTGCAGTATGTAAACACCAATGTGGAAACAGTTTCCCCGCAGCAAAATGCTCCCGGGATCCAACAAGAGGGTCATATCACACCGCCTTATCAGGCCTACGACTATCTCCATGAGTTTTGCACTGCTCCAATGGAGCAGTTGCCCCTCAATGAATTTGATACGAATTGGGGCAGTGATGTGTTGGGACTCGAAGCACCCATTCCTACCATAGAAAATGTCACAACGCCCTATACTAATAGTAACGCCCAGGATCAACCAATGACTCAGAACTTCTGCTGGAACTCGAATAGTTCTGCTGGCGGTTCCACATCATCGGAGGACATTCTGGATGTGGACTACGACTTCATTCAGAGTTTATTAGACTTTTAAAAATATCTTTAAACATTTGTTAATAATACTGTACATATACCGATAAAAGCTATATAAAATTGTATTATACTATATCGATATCTTTTATATTTGACTTAAAGAAATATACTACAGTATACTCCAATAAGATGAATACGATAAAATTATCATTCTGTGGTTTTTTTCTGGCATAAAATTACCTTAAAATCTAACTGCGAATAAAAACTTTAATAATTAAAAATATATTAATAGTATAAATATTTATATTGTTTCTTATTGGTTTTCAATTAAATAAATCCTAAACAGATATTTTAATACGAGTTCTTTTCTTTTTTATTATTAAATATATTTAAATAATTTTTGTAGAAAAACTGATTTTTAGTTGGTTAATTTATTTGATTTATACTACTTTTCTATATTTTTTAAGAGCGATTTTTTTATTGGCTTTAAAAAGACAATCAGTCTTAACATACATAGCTCTAATCATTTTGGCTGCCTGAAACTAAGTCTGTCACTTCAAATACAAACATTTAATTATGCGCGATAAGAATACTTTTGTTACTATAAATGTATTTGAATAGTAATCGAAATATACTAGACAAATTTAGTTGATTGTATCATTACCAAATAATTTTAAGATTTATAGAGTTAGATGAGCTGTTTTAGAAACAATGCGATTTGTAATAAAAATATAAAACCAGTCTGCCGAGGCTTCCACAACCGAACCACCCCGCTTATTGACAAATGTAGCAATATTTTTACACCTGTAATGCGACATTCGTGTGCATTTAAATCCGAACATAATTACGAACTTTAGCCGCCGACTGCATGGCTTGGAGAATGTGGTAAAAAGGGAGCGAAAAAGTGGCCAAAAGGCAAAAAAGCAATGCCACCAAGATTGACAACGTGATGGTTAGACAAGAGAAGAGGAGCTCAAAACAAAAACAGCGATGAGCAAAGCGAAATGTCAAAAATACCCGAAAGCCAAAAAACGCGGAGAGCGAGAAGAAACTCGCTTCTGTGGCTTTTTCTTTTCATTTTCTGCTGCGCTGCTGTGGAATGTGTAAATAACAAAAAAGCAAATAAATTCCGTCACAAGCAACACGTTCGCGTTGGAAGTGGAAAAAAGCGAGTGAGGCAAGAGCAGCAGCAGAAGAAAACGCTGCGGAAGTGACGGCTAAAGATGCACGGGTTCCAGAGCTACACGACCGCAAAGCTACAAACCCAGCACAAAATTCAGCCAATCAGCGCGCCGGAGACTTGTGCGCCGGTGTGCGTGTGCGTGGACGTGAACGCGAACTCCACCCCCTGAGCACCACGAAGTAATGGCTATGGTAACCAGTTTCCATATGGCACTGCGCATGTGTCGACCAAGAAAAAGTGTGATGGATGCGGTGGCTGTCGCTTTGGCCACTCCTTGCCAGTGGGTCCCAAAATGCCAGTTCAGTGCGTTCGGTGCTATTGGATGGAGTGGTTGTTGCTTGTTGGTTGCTCTGTAGCTCTCGGGATCCGCACGAAGCTCCCCATAAGTCCTCTGTCTCGCTCTTGCCCTTGCTCTGAATCGGTTCGGTAGCTTAGCAATAGTATCAGTGTTGAAAATTAAGAATTCTTAAATAATATTGCAATTTGAAAATATGAATATTCAACAAGAACAAACTGCAATTTAACAATCAATTGGTGCATTCGGATAAAAACACTTTAGGTACCCCTGAAAACCGGTTCTGCGCACCTCTTGAAAGCCAGAAAGGGACAGCTAGTGCCTGCATGTGTGTGAGTGCGAAGTGGAGAAAACTATCTCAGACGAATTGCAACAATTGTGTGCGCGTGTATTCGTGTGTGTGTGTGTGTGTGTGGCCATTGCAGCGATCGCAGCGACTCTACAAACTCTACACATCACGCATACGCACCGTAGTGCGGCGCGTACTTCCATCTGGCATTATCGTTGTTATCGCCGTAGTTTCGTCGGTTGTGTTGGCCTTTTCGCGTCGCCATGGCTGCCAAAAGGTGTGTGCCGAACTGAAAAACGAAAAACAAACCCCAAACAGCACTTGACGGTTGAGTAAACACAACGGTGGCCATATTTATATTTGTATCTAGGTTCCCTCGTTGTCGTCGCGGTTGTCGCCTTTTTTACGGCCAAAGATAAGCCGTGACATACTAAAGTTCTACGCAAAGCCCGCATTGCGAAAGTTGTGCCGGTTAAGCAAAAATAAAAATATAAAACAAAGGGTTAAGCCCCAACAGTTACTGTGAGCAAGTGCGAACAGTAGTGAAAACCGTGACCTAAGAGAAATTGGCTAAATTTTGGCAAAGAACTCATATCTAAACCAAATACTTGAGGAGAAATATGGAATACAGTGATCTGTAAATGATCAATTTGAAATGGTACGATACAAATTTTGCTAGATCAAGTGTAATACGATTTTAGGGATTATAAGGTCGCAAAAAGCTACTAAAAATATATTTAGGATATGGGCTATTTTTGCGGATTTTGACCAAACAGTTAAATAATGTGAATTTTGTATGTCTTCGATATAAAAAGAGATTTCTTATTGTTTTGTTAAAAAAATAAAGTTTGTAAGAGTTTTAAGACATTTAGAAATTTGAGATGCGATGAAGAACATTTTTTCGAGCTAGAATTATATGAATTATTGATTAGTATCCCCTGGCTGGAAATATAATTATGTCGGATTTACCCAGCGCACTAAACTTTATAAATAAAGATATGTTTGTTATGTGGTGTTGTTATTTTTTTGTTTCCTTCTTTCAAGAAGACGGCGTTATGTGTATATAATTTACATGTTTGTTTTTAAGAAAAGCTACGCAGAAATTGTGGCACAATTCGCTGATATTTGCTTAAGATATTTAGATTTATATATATGAATATAAGCCAATGCATTTAAGATTGGATAATATAATGCAATTTTCTTTTAAATTATAAACAGTTTACATTTAATTATATAATTTTTAATATTTTACTTAATTTGTTTGTTAAATCAATCTGAAATTGTAAAAATACTAAATTAACCTGTCAAAAATCCACATACGACATATCGTTATTCCAAAAAACTTTACCTGCATCCTAAACATACAGATTTTTAATTTTTTTTTTAAGTACGTATTTTAAGCAAAACAAACCAAAACTTGTAATTAATTTAGGTTTTTGCAGAGTTTCATATAAAGTTAAAGATTGATTTCTATGTCAGCTATTCAATCCAAAAAATATTGTATTGTGCGTTGTGTGTTTATGTGTTCAAAACAACGAAATTATGACGATTTTTCTTATTATTTTCGGATCACATTAATGGAAGCGACTTATAGATTATGATTTGTATTGTAAAAATACTTAATTTAAAAAAAAAACGTTATATAAAAAAACATACATATAATAATATTTCGAATAAAAAATTACTTTTGAAAGAAAGACTTAAACAAAGTTGTTAATTTAAAAACAAGAAACTAAGTCTTGCAACCGTCCAAAGCAACAATGTTTAGTTCTAATTTTTTTCCAGGGTTTTACGTTCTGTGTCCTCATTTAATAACGGAATAATTTCAATTGCATTGCTATTAAAATTTGTATATAAAGATGTTTTTTTCTGACATATCTAAACATTGTGAGTTCATCTAATTTATTACTAACATGAAAAATAGTGCTAGAAAAAAATTGGTAATTGTAATTTCATTAAAATTATATTTTTAAGTGCCAGCTTTGTATTAATTTGAGCATTTTAGCTGGCTGAAAGCATCCACTTAAATTGTTTGTTTTTATGCAGTACAATAAAGATGAACTAGAAATCGGACAGACATAAACCACTTTTAAATCGTAAATCGTTCATGGAAATGTGGTATAATACCAAAAAATGTGTTCTTTCTTGCAGGTCCGCAAGCTGAGAAAAATTTAAAACACTTTGGAATTGAAATAGAGAGTCATTAAACACGATAAGAAAGCACAAGAAAGCACACCATGCAGGAGGTTTGCAGCACACTGGACACGACCCCGATGGGCACGCAAATCAAATCGGAATCGCCGCTGAACCCGCTGCAGGTGCAAACTGGGCAGACGTCCCTGCCAGTGGGTGGTTGCGGTGGCGCGGGCGTGGTGGGTGGTGTGGGAGTGGGTGTCGGTCAGCCGGGGATCGGCCAGCAGGGGGCGCCACCGGTGCCGACGGTGATGCTGGTCAACAAGATGGCACCGAACTGTGATAAACGGACCGCCGACACGGCCTATTGGATGGCCGCCTCCGAGGGCGGATTCATCAACTCGCAGCCGTCGATGGCCGAGTTCCTCAACCACCTGAGTCCGGAGAGTCCCAAACTTGGAACACCTGTTGGTGCCGGCGCCATCGGAGGCGTGGGCGTCAACGTTAATGTCAATGTCGGGGTCGGAGTCGGAGTCGGATATCCGGTTGGTGTTGTCCCTCAAACGCCGGATGGAATGGACTCTGTGCCGGAGTATCCCTGGATGAAGGAGAAGAAGACATCCCGCAAGAGCAACAACAACAACAACCAGGGTGAGTCCAAATACACATTACACTTAGAAAAAAACTAGATATTCATTTTAAAGATAAGAACAAGCAGAGACAAAAATCAATGCTTTTATTAAAATAGTTCTAGCGCTTTTAAAACTCTTAAACAAAAATAATTGGCGAGCAAGCATACATAAAAATTCAGAAATTTAAAAAAATAAACAATTTTAATATATTGAAACAAAGTTTAGGTGATTGAAACGATTCATGATAATGAATTCAGGATTTGGCTGTATCAAGTTTCTGAAATTTTATTTTGTTTTTATTTCATAAGTTCATTTTGGTAAATTATGTATTCGTGGCCAAAAAATGTAGCTCAGTGATATTTTTATCAAAATGTACCTAAAATGTAAATTTAGTTCAGTGATATCTGTATCAAAATGTACCTAACTAAAAGGAAAAACAATACAGTGCTTAAGATATATAATGTTAACCGAAATTGACAACATCAAGAATATACTTTTTCACACCGAGAGTATAAAGTTTTTACTCTTAGTTAATTGCGTTTAATTCGCTAAAATTTTCTAGCTCATTATTTCTTGCCGTGCAGCCGGTGAAATGCGAAACTGTCATTAATCAAGAAATCAATGCAATTTACCTTGCATCAAATGAGGCGCAGCATGGCGGCGCCTTCGCCACTTCCCGTCCAGAAAGCCAAAGCCAGAACCGTATGTCCACACTGCCGCTCGGTCCCGATCCCGATCCCTTTGCCTTTTCCATTCGATCACGCACCGAGAGGGTTCGGCTCCTTTGATGGACAGCTCGCTCTGGTGCCGGCAAAGATCTGTTATTTGCGATCATTTGTAACAATTTTCGAGAGCAGAGCGGACCGCGCTGGAAATGTTTCATTTATTTCCCTTCGCTTCGACTGGAGTCGAATGTGTCGATTTCATTTGCGCAAGAAATACGAAAAAAGCGACGAGGAGAGTACAAAATGAGAAAAGAAAACTACAGCTGGGCCAGGCATCGAGTCAGCCGCATTTAAAATAAATGAGGTATCAAGGTTGTCCGACCATACGTTTTCCTGTCCAACTTGCCGGGCCAGTGCCCGGTGCCCAAGACCCGGGCCCCTTTCCTCAAAGCGATTGCAACCTGTTATTTGGGTTCATTTGTCAAAATATTTTTTCCTGTCCCCCTTTTTTTTTTTTTGCCTTTGATCAAGAGGCAGTGGATGCAGAGGGAACGCCGCGTTGCACGTTGCAATTGCAAGCCTTTGGGCCTCCGGGCCATGTTGCAGCACAGAAAATACATACTTCGTGTCTGCTGCTGCACCATTTTAAACCAGTGCCTCCCATTCGCCATTTCGCCATTCACATGCCCAGGGACACATAGAACTGAGTGGATCACAGGGAAGAAAATACTGCAAAACGAGGAACAAGCATTTCAATTTATCATTTATATCGGACACAATTCGAGCAACGGCTTAGTCGTTGAAAAATGCAATAGGGTTAACTTTAAGTTTCAGCACACAATGTTACTATTATGGTTCATTCAAAATTATTAACATAAAATTGAATAAACTATAATAGGATAAAGTTGTGGATCAGTTACTATAAAAGACAAATTGTTGTTATAAACAAATATAGAAAGGACTTAAAATAAAAAATAAATAAATGATTGAAGGAATGATTTGCTCTCACACCAAACTTTCAGCTTGTAAACACCCTAGGAACTAGCTCCATATAATTGAACTCCATTTAATTTGGAAAACGTTTATAAGTTTTTAAATTAATTCAACAATATTCACTAGCCATGATGAAGAGTAGGACTCAGTTAGCTCTTGTATAGTGTGCACTGACTTAAACTAATACATTGCCAATTAATATTGACCACAGACACCAACAACACACATCCTGTTGACAAATGAGCAGCACTAATCCCCTCGAATGTGGGTGTAAGTGTGTGTTTAACCGCCAAATCCCAACACGTGGCCAGTGCGGAGTGGCAAATGGAAGCGTCGAGGAATTCCCCAGAGGGGAGAAATCTTTCTCCGGGTCCGTGTCCGAGTCCGGGTCTCTGCTTGCCGGTTTCCCGGAGTGAAAGTGAGCCAATAAATAGCGTGAAGCATTCCGAAGCGCCGTTGAAGGGTCAATACATCTTTCACCCACTCCGAACACACTATATATACATATGTATGTATGCAGTGCATGGGACGAGAAACGAAGGGACGACATGCTGAGCGATATGGATTACAAATGATGTTGTAAATGTCCGTCCCGGCGACCGTTTGTTTATCTCAGTGTGCGAACAGGGCTAGTGTGTTTGTGTTGGTTTAACAGTTTAATTTGTTAACGTTGTCAAATTAATTCCTTGTCAAGTGGTAACCGATCTAAATGATCTGTGAATGGAAAATGAGTAATGGGTTATCCTAAGATCGCATTCGGGATTAATGAGCATTAAGGTTAAAAACAGGGCTATATCTCATATTTCTGAACTAGGAGCTGTAGAATCTCTCTTAAAGTCTTCTTCTAAGCATATATATGGTTTTCTGAGGAAAAAAAAATAAGAGCAGTGTCCCTTAACTCAAAGTATTTGATTTAATTTGCTAGCAAATACTTTATACTATTTTATTTATTTAATTGGCTTTAAATATAATATACAACTGAAAAAGTATAAATAAAGAATTCCAAGCAGAGTTTACCTTGTGACTTAACTAATATACAATTTAAAAATAGTTTACTTTTGCTTAAACACATTTTCTAAACCCGAAAATCACGAAAAACATATTTTAATTAAATTGTTTTAAATAAAATTAATTTTTATATAAACCTCAGCTTAATGAGGCCTCTTAAGTCTGGCCATTTAAGTCCACATTTTTAAATTCCACTTCCTGTCTGAAATAACAATTTGTATTCACCAGCCCCTTTCCTTGCACTCATTGTTAGCCGCAAATTGTTTGCGACGCATCCTGAATTTTAATGTGTGGCGCGTATTTCGGCTGGAATTCCTTCGCAGTATGGGTTGCACGAGTTGAAGGATGGGGATTTCTCCATAGAAATTGTTCCGTTAGCCTGTTTACATGCACACAAAGTGGAAGCAATAAAATTTCCGCTCAGCATCAAGTGTTAATTAGGCGTAATGAACTGCAAGAAAAGTTTGTAATTGTCGAGCAACATGTTCAAGTTCTCTACAAGTATCTGCGAGATACGCAAACGGATCTTCTCAGGTTAGTGAGATACTTTCACTGAAAAGAGCGATTTTGGGCTCGGCGGTAAACCAATAAAAAACAATTTGACTTCGTTGGCCCCGGCTATTGAGAGGCGGCAATCCATTCGAAGCGCCATCTGTATCATCCACGCCACTCCACTGCCACTCCACTCCACTGCCACTCCACTGCCACCAAATCCGCCGATCCACCCACCCCGCGACCATATGTTGCTCCATTGAGAACTGAAGCAGTTCATCCTGCTCCTGGTTGATTCAGTGGGTGGAGGGGCAGAAGGGCATAAAAAATGCGTGCGGCACGACTCGAAACTTACCCCCCGAGGATTACGATTATAACAAACCATTTATCATAATATTTATGTTGATGCGTTGTACTTTTTCTCAATGAAGGTCTCAAAGTCTGCCAGGGTCAGAAAAAAGCGGAGGACAGGGCCAGGTTCGCGGTGCCTTTTATTAATTTTATTTATGTTGAGTCATTTGCACATTTATAATTTTAACCTTTACAGTTGAATTCATTCAAAACGAATTCGGCACAAGTGCGAAAAAAATCAGGGTAGAGAAAAATATTGCTCTGCAGCCGTGTTCATGTTATGCAGATTTAATATATTCTTAGGTACATCTTATATTTTCGATTGAGGGGGAGGTTTGTCCGAAAATGTATTCTGTTATTGATATCCCTTAATTATGTGTTTGACATTAATAGACTTGTGGTGTCACTGTGGGAATGAAGCTATTAAATCATATCTTGATTTGGCTAACTAAATATTTAAACAATTTTTGTGAGACTTGCTGTTTTAAAAAGTATAATAAATATCGAACAAATAAAGGTACTCCGGTGCTAATTTTAAACTACATGTGTGTTTTTAACATTTATTTTTTTATTAGCAATAATCCAAAAAATGTGTGCAAGCTAAAATTTTATAGATTTGACTTTTTTGCCCACATCCCGCATAATCCTGAACTTAAGTCGATTTAACCTGAAAACTCCCCGTCGATAAATGCCTCCAAAAAGGTAAACTGGAAGTCATGTCGCCGAGCATTAAATTAATTGGCGCTCGTCAAATAATTTTTGAGTACTAATTACGCGTCAAACGATGAAAAATTTCCAAGCCCACTGAAAAGGCTCCGTTCCAGGATTTGAAGCTGTCGGTTAAGGTGGCCCGTTTTCGGGTCGCTCAATTAATTGTTACGACTTTATTATGGAGATAAGTGCGCAGCGTCTTGGCCAGGACAAACAAAGGGTTCTAATTGGCCGACCGCAGCCAGGATAATGCCAGGCAGACGTTTACGCCCCAAAGGGTTTTTCCATATTTTTCTTTCGCTTTTTCTGGCCTTTCCCTCTCCGACGTGACTGTGAAAAAATCTGTTACAATTAGTTAAGCTTGAGCCGGCGGCTGGCCGAAGTAAATTTTAAGATTATTATTTTCAACCACAGTTTTGGGTGGCTTTTTCGGCGGTTTTATCTGCAAACTGATTTGTCATTATTTTTAAAGGGAAAAGGGCCCGCAAATTTATCAGACAATTTTAAACCCAAATGTTCAAGGCTTTCTTATGGCGTGTGTTGGAGAAAGGTGAAAGCGAAATTAGTGAGGCAATTTTTCTTTAAGTTTATCTTTATAAAAATGAGGACTTTCCAGCATAAGTTAAACATTGCAAATCCCCGAGAATTAAATCCTTAAAATGAAGTCTATAAAATCTAAGAAAATGTGTTTTACTTCCAAGTTTTGTAATTTAATACAGGATTAGAGACCAAACAATCATTTAAGCAAATCAATTTCCTGCATTAGGACATTTCCCAACTCGCTTTGGGTGTCCTTTAA